AAGGAAGGCGGGAATTATCTAAATTATTAAATAATTTTCAGGATATATTTAGTGATACAGGTACAGAAATTGGAGTTGCAAAAGGGGTTTATCATAAGATCAACACAGAGCAGGCCCGGCCAATAAAGCAACAACTCAGACGTCATCTCCCGGCACACCAAAAAGTTATCGCAAAACAGGTAGACGAAATGTTGGAGCAAGATGTGATTGAGCCATCTCATGGGCCTTGGTCTTCCAACATTGTCTTGGTAAAGATAAAAGACGGCTCCTATCGATGTTGTATTGATTACCGAAAATTAAATTTGTTAACAGTAAAGGACGCGTACCCACTTCCAAGAATAGACATGTGTCTAGACGCGATGTCAGGTGCGCGGTTGTTTCTACTCTGGATCTTAAATCATCTTATCACCAAATAGAAATGCATCCAGATGATAGGGATAAAACTGCTTTCGTCTGTAACAAAGGCATTTTTAGGTTCAAACGAATGCCGTTTGGGTTATGTAACGCTGGCGCTACTTTTCAGCGCTTGATGGATATAGTGCTTTCGGACTTGTGCCCGAATACATGTTTGGCATACATCGATGATATAATTGTATATTCTAATAATTTGCAGGATCATTTTTTTAGGTTAAAACAAGTTTTTAGCAGGTTAAGAAACACAGGACTGAAAATCAAGATAGAGAAATGTAGATTCCTCAAGGAAGCCGTTACATTCTTGGGGCATATTATCTCTTCGAAAGGAATAGCAACAGATCCGTCGAAAACGGAAGCTGTTCGGGACTGGCCCATACCAACTTCTTTGATGGATGTTAGAGAATTTTTAAGTTTAGCTGGATATTATCGACGTTTCAAAACCGTTGAACTTTCTCCTAAGGAACAAACAAAAATTCAGCTGGGGATTGGAGCAGCAAAAAGCTTTCGAAAATTTGAAGTCTGCGTTGACAACCGCACCGGTTTTAGCTATGCCACAAGACGATGGATCTTTTGTTCTGGACACTGATGCTTCTCAGCAAACTATTGGAGCAGTATTGTCGCAGTTGCAGGATGGCAAAGAAAAGGTAATTGCGTATGCTAGTCGAACCCTGAGTCGAGCTGAAGAAAATTATTGCACCACGCGAAAAGAGTTACTAACAGTCGTTTATTTTTTAAAATACTTCAAGCAATATTTGTTGGGTAGGCATTTTACCATCAGAACAGATCATGCACCGCTGACATGGTTGAGAAACACACCCGACCCTATTGGTCAACAGGCAAGATGGTTAGAACAAATGGAGGAGTTTGATTTTAATATTATCCACAGGGCAGGTCGAAACATGGTAATGCAAATGCCATGTCTCGGAAACCGTGATATTGAGGGTCAATATGCGGATAAAACAATCCAGGTTTTTGTTAAGTGGCTGCAGGAAAATGCTGCCAAACAGCCCTGGAACCTATGGGACCGCCTAGTGATCAAAGACGGAGTCTTATGTAGACGGTTCGAAATAACAGAGACTGGAGATGTGGTTTGGCAGGCCTGGGTGCCTGCAAATATGATTAACTCTGTATTATTAACTGCCCATACAGGAATGACAGGTGGACATTTAGGAGTGAATAAACTGAAAGAATCCATTCAACAAAGGTTTTACTGGCCAACATGGAAAACTGACGTTGAGATGTTTGTCAAGACGTGCGAGAAATGCTGTCGATATTACCGGGGTAAGCTACCACGGAAAGCAAAAATGAAAATAATGTTGTCGGGCATGCCATGGGAAAAATTAGCTCTATACATCACCGGGCCACATCCAAAATCGAAGAAGGGGCATATCTTTATACTAACGATTTTGGACCATTTTTCGAAGTGGGCAGAAGCATTTCCGATACGAAAGCACACAGCAGCTACAGTGTCTAAGGTCTTAACCACAGAAATTTTTCCGAGGTTTGGAATGCCGATGCAAATACTCACAGATCAGGGTAGGGAGTTTGAAAGCGAACTATTTACGACGCTTTTACATACTTTGAGAATTGAAAAGTTGAGGACATCCCCGTACAATCCATCATCCAATGGGGCGATAGAGCGATTCCACAAAACGCTTAATTCGATGCTGGCCAAAATTGTAGATTAATCCCAGAGTGATTGGGATGAACATTTACCACACGTTATAGCAGTGTACCGGGCAAGCGTACATTCGGCGACAGGGTTTACCCCAAATAGGTTATTTTTAGGGAGAGAAAACATGATGCCAGTGGATCTGGTGTATCGATTACTTAAAGAATCCAACATAGGTGAGACTTACCATGAATTTGTGAAACCATGAAGTGCTCAACCGGTCATTAGTAGCTCATCAATTGGCGCGGGAAAGGCTAAAGACAGGGACACTTTATAGGAAGTCATTGTATGATGCTAAGGTCAAAGTCCTGACTCTACGACCGGGAGACAAGGTGTGGTACCTGTACCCAAGATCATGGCAAGGCAAATCTCCAAAATGGGTCAGCCCATATATAGTGGATCATTTAATTCCTCCAGTCAATGCGGCGATAAAAAAAACGTCAGAGCTAAACCGTTTGTCGTCCACATAAATAAATTAAAATTGATTTGTTGATTAATTTTCGTTAATTTATTTTCATTTTTTTAGGCAGGATGAAACAGTACAGCAAATGTGGGAGAAGGATGTTGACACGCAACCACAAGAGACATTTCGACAGGTGCTCTGGAGCGGGAAACAGCGCATCAGATAGCCAGCTTGTGTCACTAGGACGGGCGATCCCGTATTTAGGAAACAGTACACCGGAGAAAGCGGTCAACGCTTTGAAATTATCTTTCCCGGGTATTCCGTCAAGTGAATTATAAAAAAGTTACGTAGTCGCAAGAGCATCAATGAGTGAACTGGTCGCAGCATTGACCCTGAGCTTCTCACTTGAAAATTGTGCTGAGGAACCGACACAACGAAAAAGATGGGCAAGCGAAGCTAGGCGGTGGGCGAACCAGTTCATAGCTTTCGAAATGCCCGATGAAGCCCACCAAGAAACATCACTGGGGTCAGTGCCCATGTCGAGTCACGTAGAAGTAGCGGGCGAAAGCTTGGTCGACACACCATGCTCAACTGCCAGACCGTCGCTGGTGGACTGGATACTGGAAGGCCAGGTTTACGAGGGCGAGACGTCCTTCCCTGTAGACCAGGTTTTGACGATAAGCACTCCAGCGTGGGCAAAGGAAGACAGCGACATACTCCCAGCATCAAGCCCAGCTGTACCGAATAAGAAGGGAAGAAAGAGGCCGTCCAGATGGGGCCCGGAATTGATGGCGATCAACGTCTCCAGTTTCGACGAGGAGCTTTGAAAGCAAACGTCGGGGCGACGTTCGATGGGGTGGGGGATGTTGGGAGGTTTTTTTTAGCGCGCATGTGGAATGAATGGCGCAAGTGTGTATGTTGGCGCGCATGTTGTGGTCAGGTGGGCAGTCTGGTCGAATGTCGTATGAATTGGTTTTGTATGCAGGTTGGTTGAATGTTGGTATGGCGCATATATGGTGAGTATGGTTGAGAATGAATGTTTCTCAGTTTGTTTAGAATGTGTTTGGTATATAAACCTTTGGACAATTGTAGAAAAAAAAGAAAGTTAGTGTTATAATTTGGTGTTTTGGAATAGCGTTGTGAATTAGTCTTTGGTTTTATCGTGGTCGTATTGGTCGGACGATTGTTTCTTGTTTTGGGATTTCATTTGTTACGGCTGGTAAAAATATTATAGAACATATATATATAAAAATAATATAGAACATTTAATTTAGTTGACTTTAGAAACATTTGCTTTAAAGAGTATTATTTTGTTTGCTTTAAAGAATATTATTTTGTTTGCTTTAAAGAATATTATTTTGTTTGCTTTAAAGAAGATTATTTTGTTTCTTTTATTTTTGGTTCATTAATAGAATTATTTCAGTTAGGCTTGGTTTGTCACTTTTAAAAACTAAAACATGTTTGAAGAAGACTTGCTAGCTGTTAATAGGGCCGGATTAACCGACCAGCAAGCAGGGCGCGATAATACTTCCGCCCGGCCCGTATTTTCCGACCCGGAAATAAAAAGTAGTGAAGAGGCGAATCCCGGCCAGAAGCAAGACTGCCTAGGCTGTTGATATTCGAGCGAAGGAAAAATTTCGCAGCGCGGTAAAAGTTCACAATAGTAATAATAGAAATAATAATAATAGTGCTGTCAATATTAATAAAAATAGTAATAATAATGGTAATTATGATAATGTTAATAATGGTAATAAAAATGGTAATGATAATTATATTGATGGTAACAAAAATATTGGTAATGGTAATGGTACTGGTAATAATAATGAGAATAAAAATGATAGTGGTGGTGATAATAATGATGGGGATAGTAATAATAATGCTAATAATAATTGTAATAGTAATTTTAGTAATGATAATCGTAATTGTTTTAGTCAATCAATCAATCTTCGTTTTGCGTCCAGAGACCCGGTTTCCCGAGGTAGGACATTGTTTTCTTTGCCATCAACTTTTTGCGCCAAATTAGACGATCAGTTGTATCCATTTCATTTAAATTTAGAGCTTTCATGTCTTGCTCGATTGTTTGCGACCAGGACTTCTTTAGACGGCCTTTGGGATGTGTGCCGGGTACTTCAACATCTGCAAGAGAAGTTATGGCACTGTTTCCACTTCGTTTGACATGACCAAACCACCACTTACGGTGTTGCCGGCATTCGTCCTTTATATCTTTATATCATCTAAACCAGCACGACGCAAGATTTTGGTAGATTTGATGTGATCCTTCAGACTAATTTGTTGCATCCATCGGAGCATTTTCATGTCGGTTCGTTGAAGTTGTTGTTCCAGTTTGGTTGTCATTGGCCATGTTTCTGCACCATATAACAACACCGGACGTATCATAGATTTATAAAGTCTTGATCGTAATGGTAGTGGGATATCACGCCGCATCAATATAGAGGCAAGGAGATGCCATTTATTCCAGGCTGCACGTATGCGTGCTCGAACGGCAGCTTCAGATGTTCTGGTACAATCCAGAACATCTCCTAGATATTGAAACAATGTGACTTTCTCTATTTTAATGGTTTCAAAAACAGTGCTATTTCGAATTTGTTGTTGTGGATTGATGCAAGCTTTGGTTTTGCTGATGTTGACTTTGAATCCATGATCGGCGAGTCTGGTGTTCCAATCTTCAAACATCTGTGCTGCATTCTGCTCAGACGTGGCTGTTAAAACGATATCATCAGGATATATTAGATACCAAATGTCACCAGTGCGTATCGGTTTTGTGATTTCTTCCATCACAGTTATAAATAACAGTGGACTGAAAATCGAGCCTTGGTGAACTCCAACGCCGATGTCAAATGCATCTGTGTTTCCAACCGTTGTGCTGACAAGAGTCTTAGTATTCGTATACATTTCCATCACAAGTCGAACAAGATATTCTGGAATGAGTTGTCGACGTAGACTTCACCTGATTGCTTCACAGGGAACTCGATCAAATGCTTTTTCAAGGTCTACAAAAATGTGTGATAGTTGTTGATGCTTTGCGAGGTACTTCTCTTGCAGTTGCCGAAGGATGTGAATTGCATCAATTGTTGATTTCCCCGCTAGAAAACCAAATTGATAATTTCCGATTGTGATGCACGACGTTAATCTTCTCTCAATGATTTTTTCGACAATTTTCAGGGAGTGTTCTAACAGACGTATACCCCAATATGATGAACAGTTCAATGGATCACCTTTGCCTTTGTATAGCGGGACTGTCATGCTATAGTTCCATTCAGTCGGCATTGAACAATTTCTCCACATTTCACGGCAAAGTTGTAGTAACGTTTGGATACCTGCAGTACCAGATGCTTTGATAATGTCATTTGTGAGTCCAGAGGGCCCTCTGCCTTTCCATCCTTCATAGCTTTCAGAGCTTCTGTAAGCTCCTTTACAGTGATGTCTGGAATCGGATCTTCGATGGGTGGAGTGTCAAAGTTAACATTGATGGGATTTGTTTCGTTTAACAGACGATTGAAGTATTCTCTCCACAGTAGCTTGATCTCATCTTGTTCAAGAGCTATCTCATTTTTGTCGTTTTTGATACATGAGGCACCAACTATGTCTTTTTTCGTACGCTTTGCTTATTTTGCTATACGATACAGAGATTTCATTTGTTCATCTTTGCTTTCAGTGAGCCACTCTCTGCACTGATCTGTCCGAGCCAGTGCAACTGTCTCTAACCATTTTTCAATGGTCAGGTATAAAAACTAAATTAAAAAATAAATATTATTATTTTATTTGTATCTATAGAGCCCCCAATATTAAATTAGATGTCTTTTTTAAAATTTTTTATGACCTGTTTAGTAATATACTCAAATTTGATACCAATGCAAATATTTATACCTTGGGTGACTTCAACATAAAGCTGGCTATTGATAGTTATGCTTCCCGGACTTTTCTGAATCTTTTAAGCGGTTTTGGCTTGCATCCAATTATAAATCGTCCAATTCGAAATATCCTACACCAGTTCGTCTATAATTGACAATATTTTTACAAATGATAGTGATTTTTACTTCAAATGATAGTGATTTTCACTTATAAGAACTCGAGTTATGAATATTGATAATTTGAAGAATGCAAATATTCTTCTATCAGCTGCAAAATGGTCAAATGACTGTGAGAATTCAGATATTGAGGACGATTATGAAAACTTTTTCCATACCTACATAAAATGTATTGATAAGGCGTGTCCAATAGTTATAAAAAATATCGGTTCAGGAAACCATGGATGGATGTCGAACTTTTCAATTGCTGCCAATATAAAAATAGTTTATATAAAACTTACTTAGCTAACCCAACTATCATTAATAAAAATATTTACAAAAACTATAAAAAAAACAATACATTAAACCAAAAATCAATAAAGAAAAAATATTTTTTTTGAAATAAATTTAAAAATTGTAAAAATAATAAAGAAAAATGATTTTTAATAAATGATATTAGTCCAACTTCAATAAAATCACATCTTTTTAAAGAAAACGATCTTTTAGAAGTAAAAATTAACGTAGTCAAAAAAATAAACAAATTTTTTATTGAGCAATGTAACAAACTAAACAGTGATTACCATTCTAACTTGACGTCAAGTCACATTAGATTAAACAACTTTGTCACTGATACATCGCCAAATGAAATAATCTCGATTGTTAATAAACTTTAGCTTAAAAATAGTTATGATTGTGACCTTCTTTCAACTAATTTTTAAAAAAACTATTCACCCAATTGCATATCTACTATCAAACTTAATTAACAAATCAATTAATAAAGGTAAAATTCCAAACAGATTATAAATAGCAAAAGTTTTACCAATTTTTAAGGGTGGCGACCACAAACAATATGAAAATTATAGGCCAACATCTATTTTATCAGTATTCTCTCAAATATTCGAAACAATTATGTTCAACAGAATTTGGAATTTTCTGATACTGAACAATGTAATAAATAAGCACCAGTATGGCTTCGTGCCAAAATCTTCGACTGAGAGAGCAATGACCGTATTATACGACTCTCTTTTAAAGAGCTATGAGATGAAACAAATTACTATTGGTGTGTTTATTGATTTGAAAAAAGCATTTCATTTAATTGATCACAACATCTTAATTTACAAGTTAACCAAATATGGGTTTCGAGGAACTATTTCCGATTGGCTTCAATCTTATCTTAAAAATTGAAAACAATATGTTTGTGTTGATGGTATCGAATCTTCACTTCTGGAAATAATATCGGGTGTCCCTCAGGGGTCTACTTTAGGACCTCTCTTGTTTATATTATTTGTAAATGACATTTTTTTTAGTATCGAACGTTTGCTCAACTATTTTATTTGCGGATGATACCACAATATTTTTTTATCTGGTAGTGATCCAGGATCACTGTTTTCAGATATGAACAATCAACTTGATGGATACCTTAATTAGTTCTCTGAAAACAAATTGATATTAAATGCAAAATATCGTCCTATTTGATCTTTAGTCCAAAAATAAATACATAAAACATTCAATTTGACAATATGACATTTCGCATTGGTGATTCTATTTTATCAAGAAAGAACTCAGTGAAATTTTTGGGAATCATAATTTAGTCTGATTTAAAATGAGATGAACGTGTGAATGCAGTATTGGTTAAAATTTATAAAATCACAGGCGTCATTTACAGGTCTCGTAACAAATTGAGTCATGATTCAATGTTGTCAGGGGCGTCTATCCCTCCTAAATGTTGGAGGCAAAAATCCCCCCCATGTCCGTCCGGCTCTATTTTATAATGTGTACTAAAAATGTGAACACACACACAACACAACTCTTTAATGTTCAACAATGTTTTTTCTGATAAGATAACAAAAACTTCTCTTATAAAGTTGAGTAAGTAAAATGAAAAAAAGAACAATTTTAAACAATGAAAATAAAAAAAATGCGATATATACAAATATAACTTCTGTCGAAATTTAATTAATATTTTTTAATTATACAACAGTTGAGACTTTAAAGACAGGCTTGACAATGCAATTTGCGTTATTATTTGATCATCAGAGAATGTTTGAAGAATATCTTTCTCTGCTGCTATTATCATTAATGCTGATAAATAATCATCTGCCATGGTAGACCTTAGGCGGTTCTTTATAAATTTCAGCTTACTTAAAGCTCTTTCTGCAGAGGTACTTGATAAAGCAAGAGAAGCAAATAATCTGTTTAGCATCAGCAAATTGCGGTAACCAGATAGTTGATGAAGAACATTAAGTAGTTTTATGAAACTGCAATTTTTCCAATTATTAGTATCATTAAGGGATAAGGGACCTCAGGTTTGCAGATGATATAGATCTGCTAGCATATAGTGCAGAGGGTCTACAGAAACTGATCGAGATGACGTACGATGGTGGAAGAAACCATGGACTACACATCAACAGCAGTAAGACAAAGATAATGATTTTGGAAGCAGGTGGAAACAATGATGAATTCCAGATAGGAGCAGAAAAGCTCGAACAAGTGAACCAATTTATATATCTGGGCAGCCTCATAACTGATGACAATAATTGTTCGAAAGAAAATGATAGCAATCGCGAGAGGAATGTTTGCATCTTTGAAAGTAATATTGAAAAACGGTAATGTATCTACAAAAACAAAAGTAAAGATCGTAGAAGCGTGTGTGTTTTCTACATTGATGTATGCATGTGAGGCTTGGAAGTTGAAGAAAAGAGACAAAGACAAACTGGAAGCATTCGAGATGCATTGTTATAGAAAGTTACTGGGAATCAGTTGGAGACAAAAGATAAGAAACGATGCCATAAGAAAACAACTTGAAAGACAAAAAACTATGTATGAAAGTGTCAAGGAAAGAAAGCTGGGTATCTTTGGGCACATCTGCAGAATGACAGACGACAGACTGATCAAAAAAGTACTGATGAGAAAGAGGGACTGGAAGAAAAAAGTTGGAAGACCTGTGAGGAAGTGGATGGATGATATCACGGAATGGACGGGGGTTGGAACATTGAGCTCAATGAAGATGGCGAGGGAAAAAAAGGATTTTGGAGAGATAGAAGAATACCATCGGCCTCAACGATCCTTTAAGGGATTACAGAGGATCATTGAATGAATGAATGAATTAGTATCATTCGTTTGGGCTTCTTTATATGCCATATTGTTATTGTCATCTTCTTCATCTGGTTTATCAGAAAATATTTACATGCCAGAGTCATAACCTGAACCTGCAGACAGGTTTTCAATCTTTTCGTCATTTTTTAGCAACGTGTATGCTTTTTTAAATTCGTTCAGTTCATTTGCAACATCCTCTGCGTTGACACTATACAGGTTACAAACAGTTCCTATTTCACTAGCCTTAACACAACGGTTGCTTAAAAGTGTTTTGGGAGTAAAAAGCGAAAGTTCTTTTAAAAAAACCAAATTTTGCTGCTCAAATCTACTTTTCATTTGTTGATTCACCTCATCTAAAATAATTAAAAAGCATTCATTTTTCATTTTATTTAATCCAACTGAACATTCGTCGCTGCAACGTTCATCAAACATTTTTTTTTCGTACGACGTCTTTCAAAATCAAAATCTGGGCTGATGCTATGTGCTGTTGCGAATGATTTCGATTCACTGCATATTGTTTTCCACGTCAAATCAGCATTTCTTCTTATGATGTCAAACTGATGAATGCAGTCTTTTATCAGTTCTGTTGCAGACGCCATGTCAATTGATATACACTGCACTGCTTTGTATACAGGACCAATAATATTATAAACCAATTTTAAAATTTTCATGCTAATTATCACACGGATGTTTTTCATTCTTTTACGAAGTCCAAGTGCAACAGTAACTGTTTTGCCGTCACTCAATGATGATTCAGCCAACTCGGATAGACTTGCTAATATTTCTGAATATCTTTTCATCACCGTTTCTACGGCTGATTCTGTGCTGTTCCAGCGAGTGGTTTGAACACGCTTTAATTGCATTTTATGCTGACAATTACTTTGAGAATTTTGGAATACAGCATTTCTGCGATGACCATTCATGAATGAATATAAATCTTCTAGCAGTCCTAGCGTATTTTTTTTATTTCATTACAGCATTTCATAACGCCATTCATCACTAAATTTAACCTGTGTGCATTGCACCAAATATAAATTGCTTTTTACACTCCTTTTGAATAAGAGTAGCCAATCCAGCCTACCGACGTCGCATGTTATCTACACCATCATAGCATTGACCTATCACCCATGACATATTAAAATTCAATTTAGTCAGAATATCAATAACTTCTCCTTTGAGTATCTTGCCCGATGTTTCTCCACAAGTAAAGACTTCCAACAATCTTTCAACTGAATGCAAATCTCCCATACTATTTATTTCTAGATATCTCAGCAAAAGAACATTTGCTTCCTTTTTACTAAAATCTTGTGTGCTATCAAAAATAAGACATGCCTTTTGTTGTTCTGCAATATTTGACACAATTTTCTGAACAATCATTCGTTTCATTGTTGTCAAAACAACTCGAACATTGCTGGAACTTAGAAAATTAACTGCCATTTTCTTTCTTAATCTATGTGATTCATCAACTTTCATCAGATATGCAGCAGCACTTGGATCCCGTTTAGATATTGTTCGAAAAAGATTTTAAACTTTCCTTTATTAGATGTTTTTCCACGAAAAGCTATCATTTCTTCACTTAGGTACTTAACACAATCTAAAATGCATACCATAACTTTTCTATTACTTAAATTATATCTTTTCTATTTCTCTCGATGAAGACATCTACGGCCAATCCTCTTTTCCAATTTATTTTTGCAATATCAGCTTCGCGATGCTCTGCACTTACTTCATGACAAATGATATCCCGCAAACCATTATGCCAATTATTAAAACCTGATGTTGTCCATACAACTGAACCTTTTGGGCCGGAAAACATAATACAAGTAATACAGTAAATTTTGTCAGTTTGTTTGCTGTAGGACAACCATTATCTTTTACATTTTGAGCCATCTGGCATTACACATTCAAACCATTCTTTTTGGAAACTGCGACCATCAGTAACAGGATAGGAATAGTCATTTGATTGATATACACCAAGTGCCAGGCATGTTGTTATTTCAGGTCTTTTCAATATTCGTCCATAAAACTGAGCTGCATCATTTTTGTCTAAAGCTAAGTTTAGATTTTCACAATAATTAAATTTATTTTCAATATTTTTTTCAACTAAACTATGAGCACTCAAGTTGGAATTGTTAGATTGAATCAAATCACAAACGTTGCTGTTGGATTCAGCTGCCTCTGTTGGCAAATATTCTTTAGCAACAACATCACCAATATCATCATCTGATTTTCTCATATCATTATTACTGCCTGCTGGTATTAAACTTGTAGATGGTGAATTAGTTTGGCTTGAGCTTTGTGGTTTCCATTTACCATAGATGTCTTTTACTGAAACAATGTCTTTTTTTATGTCTTCACCTCTGTAATAAAGATATTTGAATGGGTGTAAGAATTAAATGAAAGAAGACAACACAAATAAACGACGCTTTCAAATTATTTTTCAAAATCTGTTTAGTTTAGTTTAGTTAGATTTAAAGAATAACCTTGCATGCATGATCTTTTCTGCAATGCAAACTCCACTTATCTTGGCGAATGATCTTGCGACAACCGGGCTGCAAACATTTGTACTTACAAAAAAATTTCTGATCTCGAGGCATTGTTTAAAAAAAATTATTAATCCGGAATAAAAATTTAAATAAAACTAAAGCGACGCAAAATTGAATTCAAATATTCAATATTTATTTAATCAAAACAGACGAGAATATTTGGCTCCGCCCATGAAACTAAAAGTGATTTCGATGTAAACTCGTTGAAAATTTAAAACAGACGAGAATAATTGGCTCCGCCCATAAAATTAACTGAAAGTGATTTTGACGTAAACTAGTTGAAAGTTATTAATTTATAACAATGAGCGCGAAGTAACATAGTTATGTTGAAAATACGTATGTATGTTTCTAAATTGTTTAAAATGTTTGAATCTTTTTTTAATGTAACACAAAAAAATTCCCCCCTAGCTTAAAATGGAGGCAATTGCCTCTTCCCCCCCCTTCTGTAGACGCCCCTGAATGTTGTTATTATACTATTCCTTATGCTACCCCTATTTAAAATATGGTAATGTTTTGTAGGGATCCACGTACAGTTACTTGATAAATAAGTTAACAATAGCCCAAAAAAGATTCTTAAGAGTGTGCTTTACGATGAAGCGCTTAGACCACACGAGCGGTGTATATAAGTCACACAGGGTTCTCAGTATCGAGCAAATAAATATTTACCTAACATTGACGTTTATTTATAGGATATTAAATGATAAAAATTATAAATCAATCAAATCCCTTGTAAGTGTTTCATTGAGCACAAGACAACAAGGGGCTATTAGCGTATCGAATAGTAGAACTAATTTAGGTAACAGGAATTGGACTGTGAGAGGTAGTAAATTATGGAATTCTATGGGCCTATATAAAAGATGTTTTGTTAATTATAAACATTTTTAAATATTTTTGAAAGGCAATTTTTTCATTACATAATATTATTTTTATTTTCGTACAATTTATCAATATTTTGAAAAATCTTTTTTCAATAGTTTAATGTTATATTACTGTCTGTTTGAGTATCTATTATTATACGATTTAAGTTCCACACGATGTAATGTTATATAAAGAGTTTTATGTAATCAATTTTTGTTATCATTGATATTTGTCGCGATCTTTGTTATTCATAAACTGTTTTTTTGGTTGAAATTTTAATTCTGTTCCAATTTTGATTAGCTCATTGTTATATCTTGCACAGTTATAGTCAAGATGGTCTGCACATACATCAGTATTTTTTATCTCCTGTCCTTTTGTCAAATAAATACTGAAAAAAAATACAATATTCTATAAATTCTACCGAATATGTTTCCGAATTCATGCTGCAAATAAGACCATATTTCGATTCCGAATGATTCATCATCAGTGCAATTTAATTTATATAGGAAAAAAATATTCACTTTGTCAAAGTGAACTTAGATTGTCGGATTTCTTTATTGGCTGGTTCATCTTCGATGGTTTCCTTTTCTTCATAATAATATTATATATATATATATATATATATATATATATATATGTATGTATATGTATATATAAAAGTGTGTACTTACCGTATATATATATATATATATATTTATTTATTATATTTATATATGTGTGGAGATCACTAGAAGTTATGAAGTGGACATGATGGACATATATATATATATATATATATATATATATATATATATATATATATATATGTATATATATATATGTTCGTTTGATATATATATATATATATATATATATACTAATTACAGAGGAAATAAGAAATGCAATAATCTTTCTAATGATAATGATAACTTCATTGCCAACTATAACATCATTAATAACAACAACAATAACAGTAATCTTAATATTGATAACGATAACAACAACAATAATATCAACAATAATCAAAATAATCACTATAACAATATTATTCATAATATTAATAATTATAACGAAAGCATTGTAAACAACAACAACGATGAAGTCATTAATAACAACAATAATCCAAATACTAATCACAACATCATTGTCAGCAACTTTAGTAACCAAAACAACACCTACTACAATAACGCCAATAATAATAACAATAACAATACTACCAACAGCATCCACAACAATAATAATAATAATGATAAAGATATTATTCTATATTACCGCAACATCATGTCCACTTCATATAAAACAGATGAAAACATTTTAAGAAAACTAATTTACAACAATATCAAACCCGTCAATCCCAATTGCAAAGTTAAGTTAAGAATATATTATAAAAACGCCAAAACGTCAAACATGATAATCAAAAATAACTGTCAACCCAACAACAATTCCATCATGAAAAATAGTCATCTTATATATGAATTTTCCTGTCCCATTGGTAACTGTGTGCACCAAACTTTTTCATATATAGAAATGACCACCACTCAACTTTCTCGTCGACTTACCATGCACAAAAGAGAGGGTGCGATCAAATCTCATATAGAAACAACACATAATACAACATTAACACGTTCAATTCTCGACAATAACACAAATTTTCTTTACAAAAACTCCAATTCTTTCACCTTAAAGATAGCCGAAGCCATATTAATAGAAATAAAAAATCCAAAATTAAATGTTCAGCTACAAAGTATAACAGTACTTCCGACCCACAAACAGTTTTCTAAACTAATTAATAATTCTCTCACCACCAATAACAACAATAACAACCACGTTACCACCAACAACAACCATGTTACTACCAACAACAATGTAAACCATGTTAGAGATGCCAACGACCATGACAACAGCACCAACAATAATGTTAATAATTGCAGCAACAACACCAATACCAATATTAACAACAACAACATCATCATTGTCAATAACAACAACAATAACAACAGCAGCAACAACAACAACAATAGTAATAATAATAACAATGATAATAACAATGACAATGATAATAATATAAACTTGGAAACATGAATATTGTAGTATGATGATATGGCTGATTTTTGCTTTTTATTTTTTTGATTTACTTTATGGTCGTTTTTTCAGCAATTTTTAAAATTTTAATTTATTTTGTTTAATTCTAATATAT